CTTTCAACCTCAGGGGTGGGGCCGGAGGGTGGGGGGAGGGAACAACAACAATACTTTCTTTTAAAACTTCTAGGTTTCAAGGCTTATAGACACTGTAACTTGAAATCAAGATCTCAACCAACTGCAAATGTGATCGTTAGAAAACCATAAACCTGGATTGCAGTATAGTCTGAAAAACCAATAATCCCATTTAATGACATGCTGCTTGCTGGCTGGGGCAGGCATTCCTCTCTCTCTCTCTTCCTCTCTCTCGAAAGGAAGAGAGAGAGAGAGAGGGGGAGAGCGAATGAGTGTGGCTTATAGGAGGCTGAGGCATCTGTGGAAATGACAGCCATCCTCAAAGTCGTACGGAGGCATGTTTTATAACCATACGGTAATCTGCCAGCAAAACGTATATATAGGATATCAGAGAAACTGACAAGAATGGAGATACTTCAGCAAACAGCTGAAGACAAAGAAATGAGAGGAACAGAGAGCCTCTGAAATAATCCCAATGATTATAAATGTCCTACCAATCTTCCATTTACTGTAGGAAGAACAGATCCACCTTGCACCAAAAAAAAAAAAGTACATTTTAAGGCTTTTCAGAGGCTCTTCTAATAGTATCTGAGTCATTTGTGTAACTTACGGAAACTGGAAATTTATACAGATTTACTCAATCAGATCATAGGGTGGTTTGGTATTGCTTTCCCTCTCTTTAGTAAACAGGCAATTTTGTTCTTTTCTCATAACAGTCGCCTTCTGCCATGAATTTGAATGGATGAATGCAGAGCTCAAGCGTAGAAGTTGTTCATCACCAAGAAAACTGCTTTGGTGGTTAACAGGACACTCACTCAGACATCGGCTCAAGGTGGTGAAATGTGAAAGATCTAGCAAATGTCCTGCAAAGTGACTGAGAACTAAAGAATTAGAATTTGCGCTGGGAATGCAAAGATGACTTAACACTGGACTGCCTTAGAAAATCTGTTATTCTAATTCACCTTGTTAGCAAGTTAAAAGAGAAAAACCACCATGATTATATAAAAGCTACTCTAAGATCAGATCTGAGAGATGTTTAAGACCTACAACAGATGTAGAAAAATTCAATCCCTATCCTTTTAAAAAAAACAAACAAATCAGTTCCTAGCAAAATACTCGTATAACTCAATAAAAGGTACATAGCACGTGCCTACGACAGACATCCTTGATAACAAAATGTTGAAGACACTCCCTTAAATCAGGAACGAGGCCAAGATCCGCCCCCTCCACCTCCACAGCAACCACACTTCTGTTCTACACCCTACGATGAAGAGGGGCTGCCCAAGGTCACAGAATTAATCACAATTAACCAAGTCAGGAGGACCCACGCTTTCCACTTATCAATCCTTCGCTTCACATCATTCTATGTTTGTACTACAAGTGCTCCTGTGTCCTTCAGGCTTGAGTCCCTTAACATCTTATCACTTGAATTCATGGTTGCTGGTAGATCAACTGATATTCTGCCCTGGGGTTACAATAAGCTTTCGGTCAGCCTAGAAAGTCTGGGTTTTACACCTTTTCGAAGGTAACAGAAAAAAGCACAGGTAACGAGCCCACTGTGATTATAGGTCAAGGCCCTTGTGCACTAAGACGGCACAAAATCACAGACCTGGGATCTCAAGTATAAAAGCAACTCCAGGTGACCTGGTGCTTCACACAGTCTTACCTCGAAATACCAGCTACAGTCTCTTCCATTCTACTGACAAATTTTTGATGATTCTAATCAGCGTGTAATACAAAGGGAATACAGAAATAATATAATTAACAGCTGACTTAAAATGTGTATGCTGTACCTTGCACTCCACAGAAAATGCAAACCTTTTTTCTTTTTCTCCAAATTAGACTTGGTTTGTCCCAGAAAAATTCTCAATTTTACTGTCCTCGTGTAGATAAAGCTAGAAGGAAGGGCAAACTCATACCTTTAAATGCTGTCATTATCAACCAAGAAATGACAGACTTAACCGAACACAGAATTTCACTCAAAAAACTAAGAAGAAACCAAGGAAATACAGACAAGCAGGATAAAAGGATTAATAAAGATAAAAGCAGAAACAAATTAATGAAATAAGTTAACGTAGAACCGGTAAACGAATCCAGCTGGTCTTTGTGTTCAAGGATTCAAGGCATGTGGAGTGACATACTCTATCCTTCTGAATAAGAAGATTAAATATTTTACTTATGCTGACACAGGTTGGTACACGTGCCTAAACGTGCATATACTGGGGAAATGTCCGAGAAGACATACAGCAAACTGTCAACACTGTTTTTCTCCAAGTGACGGGACTGAAGGTAGTATTAATTTTTCTCTTTATACGTTTCCATATTTCCTAAACCTCCCGTAACGAATACATAATTTTCATGGCCAGAAGAAGTGAAGCTACTGTTTTGAGATACCAAATTATTTCTTGGTGACCCATGTATTTAATGTAATGTCAATCGAAATAGCAAAGAGATAGGTGAAGGACTGAGAGGGCACTTCAAGAAGGTCATCTGGAAGATGACGCATTTGGAACAGAGTGATGGAGAGGAAATGATTTCAGACACTACAAGTTAATGTAAAGCTACAATCACCAACTTAAACTTCAAATGGGTACCTGGCGAGTACCTTCTAATGGAATCACTTCCATACTTTCAAATTTTATTGAAATTTTATTTCGCATTTTAGCTATAAATTTAGAACACTGACAATGATAAAAAAAAAAAAAAAAAAAAAAGAAAAAACTAACACTACCTACCACTCAGATTATCAAACAACCAAGCCAGAACCAAGTTGCAACAAACTAATCTTTAAAAAAAAATTTTTTTAATGTGTATTTATTTTTGAGACCGTGCGCGAGCAGTGGAGGGGCAGAAACAGAGGGAGACAGAATCCAAAGCGGCTCCAGGCTCTGAGCTGTCAGCACAGAGCCCGACGCGGGGCTCGAACCCACGAACCGTGAGATCATGACCTGAGCCACAGGTGTATGCTTAACCAACTTAACCAACCCAGGCACCAGGCAGTAGACTAATCTAAAGGCAGATGAAGCAGTGGAGAAAAATCACCCTGTGAGCTCATGGCACAACTTTTTTCTTTTCTTTTTTTTTTGTGTGTGTGTGTGTGTGTTTATTTATTTTGAGGGAGAGAGAGAGAGAGCTTATAGGCGTGAAGAAGCAAAAAGAGTGGGAGAGAGAATCCCAAGCAGGCTCTGCCTTCTCGACTGTGTGAGATCAGGTCTTGAGCTGAAATCAAGAGTCAGACGCTTAACTGACTGAGCCACCCAGGCGCCTAACAGCTTGTTTCTTAAAACAGTGATGACCCTAAGGTAGGAAGTGATTTCAACATCTCTCTCTCACCACCAGACCCCTAACATCACAGATCCAGAGCTTGCAGGAAACGGAAACTAGGAAGCCACCTGTCTATGCCTTTCCAGCACTGCTCTGTGAGCAGGCAGGATATTATAGAATTACCAGCAACTTTATCATGTAACAAAGTTGCAGACTGAGGAAAGGATTATTTTTTAAAATGAAACAGGGATCATTTATTTGATCGTGGGCTGGGTAAGATCTTCCCCAGTGAAGAAGGGGAGGAAAAAAGAGGCAATGAAGACCAGATCTGAATGACCCAGCAGCTGGATACCAAGCATTGGCAAGGGCTCAGGGAAACGGGCACTCCCGTGGATCAGCTGGTGGGAACACTTCTGGGGGGAAAGCTGGCTGAATGTATTGAGTGTCCTTAAAATGGTCACATTCGGGGCGCGTGGGTGGCTCAGTCGGTTAAGCGTCCGTCGTCGGCTCAGGTCATGATCTCACGGTCCGTGAGTTTGAGCCCCGCCTTGGGTTCTGTGCTGACAGCTCAGAGCCTGGAACCTGCTTCCGATTCTGTGACTCCCTCTCTCTCTGACCCTCCCCCGTTCATGCTCTGTCTCTGTCTCAAAAATAAATAAACATTGAAAAAAATAATAGAGAAAAAAAGGTCACATTCTGACACATCAAGTCAGTGTTTAGGAATTTTTCCTAAGGAAATAACCAGACAGATATAAAAAAAAATGTATTTACAATATCAAAAGACCGGAAGAGAACATAACACGCTCAATGAACAGGTGACTGGTACAGAACATATGAGATATTTATACACTAGAATACGGCCTGGCCTTCTTAATATCACTTTTCAAAGAATAATGAGAAGAATATACTCACAAAGTGGGTGGCTCAATCAGTTAAGTGTCCAATTCTTGATTTCGGCTCAGGTCCTGATCTCATGGTTTGTGAGTTCGAGCCCTGCACTGGGCTCTGTGCTGACAGCACGGAGCCTACTTGGGATTCTGTCTCCCTCTCTCTCTGCCCCTCCTCTGATTGCTCTCTATCCCTCTCAAAAAAATAAATAAAAATAAACCTAAAAATTTTAAACTAAAAGAGTATGTAAAGGATGAGTCTATAAAAAAATTTTTTTTTAATTTGTGGGACACACACACACACACACACACACACACACACATCTGAGAGGAAACCCCAAAACAGTGGTTATATTATTACTGGGGAGGGAAATTAGGGATGATTTTAATCTCCTGTTACTAGCACCCCAGAGCATGTTAACTGATAAACTTGGATAACCGTCTCTCATTCTGAGCCAGTAAGATTCAGCTTACTTGCCACCTCTTTCAGGAAGCCCTCCAGCACTACTTTCCTTTCTCCCATATCATTCTAGGTGTTCCTCCTTGGAACTGGACTCTGAGCTGTCCTCTAGGATACTCTTTATCCCTGCATCGCACTCACTGATCTGATTCACCATCTCCCTGCTACACTTTGAACCTATAGTCAGAAATGGGGGTGTTTCATTTCTGTGTCCCCAGTCTGTCCGGAATGGAACACATCTTCAAGCTAGAAAGCTGGATTCATGAATGAAACTGGCTGAGCCAAGGAGTCTCTATGCTCTGTGAATCTCAAGGTTGAGGGGAACAACGCTAAGAAGGATGAGCAAATACCGGGAAAGGACTGTCTCTTACCTTGGCCAGTAGGCTTGAAACATGTTTAATTTCACCATGGGCCTTTAGCAATTCTTGCCTGAGCTCGGTGCAAGACAGTTCCAGCTGATCCTTCTCAGCTCGAGCGACTCTCAACATCTCTTGAACTTCACGCGCCTCTGCCGTCTGCCCCACGGGACCGGTCTCCGTCGCTTTCTGCTGCTCACTCTCCAAATGCGCCTTCAAAGACCCATTTTCAATCTGCAGCCCTTCCAAGGTCGCCTTGCACTCCTCCAGAGTTTTGGCCATCACACCGTTATTACACCGCTCCCGTTCCAGAACCCCGGTCAGCTTTTCGTTTTCTTCCTTGAGGTGTTTAATCGCTTCCAAAGCTCCTTGGTTCTCCTCCTCCACCTTCCGGAGGCTACAGGTCAGCTGCTGCTGGATGTTAAGCAGCTTCTCTCTTTCAAAGCGGCCCTGGTCAAGAATTTCTGCGCATTTCTGCTCCAGCTCCAGGATTTTGCCTTCTTGAACGGCGGCGGGCTCCTCGCTCTTTGCGCGCTCCTGCAGGAGGTTTATCAGCTTCTCGTTCTCCTGACTTAGCTGCGCGGCCCTCTCTCGGTGCTGGTGGAAAGAACTCTCCAGGATCGTCTTCTCGTCCAGCAGTTTCTCGTTTTCGGCCGTCAGCTCCTGAACCATCTGCTGCTGGTCCGACAACTCCTGCAGAGTAGCCTGCAGCTCCTCGGCCGTGCTGTGCTGGTTTTCCTCCATCTTCTGTATCTTCTCCGCGAGGGAGGCCAGGGACAGCTCGCTCACGTTGTTGGGGGAGCTGCCTGTCGTGGAGCACTTGGAGCTCTTAAAGGGGTTGCTGCTGGAGGACAGGGGCCTGGAGGGCGTGTCGGCTGTGATGTGCTCGAAATCCGAGGCATCCGGGGACAAAGAAGCTTTGGTGACGTCGCTGCTTGAAGAGCCTGATGTCCTTAACGCGTTTTCGTGTATGGGGTGCCGATAGGCATCGAGCTCGCCCGACAGCTGATTTCCGGGTGGGCTTCCGAAGCTGGACTCCTGAGTTACGGACGTTGGGCAGCTGCTCTCCCCCGTGTGACTAGCACCCCCCTCCGAATTTGGGGAATGCTCCAGATGAGTCAGTTTCTCCCTCAAGGCCCGGTTTTCCTCCTCCAGATCTGCAAGCTCCTTCTGAAAATTCTTGTTCTTCTCCTCAAGAGCTCTTAGCAAGGGTTCCGAGTCGCCTGGGGAGACGGGCGTTCCATCTGCATTTGCGTCGGAAGGCTCGGTTCCTTCAGTGCTCGGAGTCCTTTTCTCCTTACATTTCTTCAGCTCGCTTCGAAGCCTGTTAATTTCACTGTCTTTCGCTTTGGCTTCTGCCAGGAGTTCCCGAACCTGGGACTCGAGCACGGCCTTTTCCCCGCCTTCATTCTCTGGCTTGGGTCTTGCGGAGGTGGTCCGCAGGTGCTTCGTAGGGGTGGGTGTGCTGGAAGACGTGGGGCTGGACACCGACTTCCTGGGGTTGGAAGGACCGCGTGGCACGGTTCTCTCTCTGGAGACGGTTACCGAAAGTTCTCGAGGAGCTGGGATGCCTGTCCGTTTGGCTGTTGTCACAGCCCCTAAGGACAGAAGAAGTAGAAACCAATGAAACAACGCAAGCACTTTTATAAATGAAACCCAAGTGACTTCAACTCATGTCGGACACGGAACGGGATGGCTGCTGCCCTTCATTCGTTTCCGCCCCACCCACCCCCCCGGCGCCTCTAGAAACCTACCTGGAGCTGACTGGGGTTTCTGTACCTCCTCCCACAGCCCCTAGACTTTGGGGGGAAACTGACTCCAAGCCTGAACTCCTCCACTTAATCTCATCCCAGCCACAGTTGCTGGTTCAAGGCCTGGACACACCCCTCAACTGAGGTCAACAGAACACCAGGAGGGGGTCTTCTGGGTGAGTTTCTAAAACATTACTGCACATGAGGAAGGGAGCACAGAAGTCTGGGAATGGCTGCAACCTGTTGTCATCATGAGAGGAAGGTGAGAACAGAGTAGAAAGAAGGAAAGCAAATTCTTAGTAGCTCGGTGGAGTTGCTCGGTCAATCAGCCCTGGAGCTTAGCCTGTAGCTAAGCTGGCCTTCCAGTTACACAAGCCAATAAATGCCCTTCACACAAGTCATCTTGAATTGGGTTTTCTGCAACCTGCAGCCTAATGCATCTGAACTGTAACCCCGGCAACTAAACAACAGCCTTTTGACAAAATGCAAGGTCACAGTGCATTTCTTGATAAACGTTTTTTGATATTTTTAAACCTTTATTTATTTTTTAGAGAGTGCGATCTTTATTTTTGAGAGAGTGCACGAGCAGGGGAGGAACAGAGGGAGAGGGAGATACAGAAGCCGAAGCAGGCTCTGGGATCTGAGCTGTCAGCACAGAGCCCGATGCGGGGCTTGAACTCACGAATCGTGAGATCATGACCTGAGCCAAAGTCGGACACTTAACCGACTGGGCCACCCAGGCGCCCCATGACAGAGACAGAGAGAGAATCTCAAGCGGGCTCCACACTCAGCGTGGAGCCTGACGCGGGGCTCGAACTCACAAACCGCAAGTTCATGACCTGGGCCTAACTGGGATGCTTAACCAACTGAGCCACCCCGGGTGCCCCTTGATAAACATTTTTTTTAAAAAGTTCATCAACATCTTGTGAATGAGTACAAATTTGCTTAAGAAATCACAAGACACGAATAACACCAAGGGAAGACTAATCTAGTCCAATGACCTACTGCTTTTAACACAAGTGGAAACAGTGTACTTATTTGTATTCAGAAAAATAAGAACAAATGGGATAAGTTCGCATTACATGTAGCTATGGTACGGTTTTAAATGCTAAAGGGATTTACATAATATGGAAATGATACAAAATTTAGAGTATTTATAACGGGAAATGTAAGGGAAGGAACTATTTTCTGTTTTCATCTATACTACATTGTAGACCATGTTAAAAAAAAATTCTAGGAGTGCGAACCCAGACATCGATCTCCTATATGGCTCTACAAATGAGACCCACCTCAGAGGTTAAAGGGTAAGCGAAAATTCTGGACCTATTTTCCAAACTCAAAGACCTTTTGATGAATCAAGGCTGACTGCGGTAACTTCCCCAACTCTGTGCCTCAGGTTGAAGGTCCCCAGTGACAAAGGACCCTAGAAGGTGTCACCAATCCCTAGGCCTCCACAAGGTAGGAAGCAGTGGAGGGTATGCCCCCCGCCCCCCAGAATGGCCCCCCAGTTCCAGTCGACCAAGACAGAAGCAGAACCCGATGTGGCACGGTAGCTCTGAGCCCAGTGCCAAGGGCCGCTTCTAAGGAAGACCTGAAGGTATGAACACGCTGAAATTGGGGGTGATGATGTGAAGGGCAATGGCATTTGGTGCTGTGTCTAACAGTTAAGTGCTTTTTAAAACCTTGACACAATAAAGCTTAAGTTGTCATACTAATATACAGAAAAACTAGATGGTTTTTCTTAAGTTTATTTATTTATTTGGAGAGAGAGAGAGAGAGAGAGAGTGAGAGAGAGAGAGAGAGAGAGAGAGAGAAGGAACGCAAGCAGGGGAGGGGCAGAGAGAGAGGGAGAGAGAGAGAATCCCAAGCAGGCTCTGTGCTGACAGTGGGGGGTGGGGGGGGGGGGCGGTGTGGATCGGCCTGAACTCATGAACCATGAGATCATAACCTGGGCCAAAATGAAGAGTCCGATGCTTAATGAACTGAGCCACCCAGGTGCCCCCAAACTATGGGCTTGTTTGTTTTTTAATTAACTTTTTCAAATTAGAAGTTACTGGAAAGCTAAGAGTACTACAATACACAGTTTAATGCCTTCAGGCATCTTCCTTGCATCATACTTAATGAAGGAAATACTCAATGAAGGCAAGATTTATTTAATTGTTCTCGTAAAATGAAGATTGAAATCACTAAGCAATAAACCGTTTTAGGAACGCTGGTTCTCTAGAATGAAGTAATCCTGGAAAGGGCCCTGATGAAAACGGAAGATAACTCAAGTTCAAGGCAGCTGGGAGAGCCCAGCTCTTGTTATCACACAGCCACTGGCCATTCCCGACACGGCCACTGAAATGAAGGCTCCTTTTCACCCATCCATCCGTCGGGTTTGAGGATGGGCAGGACTCAAACAGAGCAGCAGATCAACTCTGTCATCCTTTCCGGCGGAAGTAAGCTCCTCCCTTCTGCCAAATCTTAGCTTGCCCTCCACATAGGTGTTACTACTTGCACCTTACCTAGACTAGTAGGAATTTTTTTTACATCAGTGTACGTTTGTGAAATACATCCGCTTGCGTATTATGAAATACACACTCCAGTTGTGTTTGTTACGACATCTGTTTTCGTTTTTGTTTCTGTTGTTTCCATTCTGACACTTGATTGGCACTGCACTATACATCCGGGAACCCTGACGTGGAGCATACCACTGGATACACACACCACGGCAAGGGAGACCGCAGAGGCAGTGAGAAGCCCGGGGTTGACAGAATAAGGACAGCCTAGCCATCACTCTTGACCTTCTTTGGTCTTTTCCCCATCCTCCCACCAGACCGCCACTTATTCCTACTGAGGCTGGCTGTCTAACGGGCATGAAGTTGAAATAAAAGCAAGCCCCACCTCATAATTGGGAAGACTAATATGATTTTCTAAAAAACATGCTTGCTGGGCCCCTGGGTGGCTCAGTCATTAGCCATCTGACTTTGGCTCAGGTCATGATCTCACGGTTTGCGAGTTCGAGTACCACATCTGGTGAGCTCGAGCCTCGCTTCGGGTGAGCCCCACTTCTCTCTCTCTGCCTCTCGTGGGATTCTCTCTCCCCCCCCCCCACCTAACCCTCACTCACTTGCACCCCCTCTCTCAAAAAGAAAAAATGTTTGGATCCGCCTGGATGGCTCAGTCAGTTAAATGTCCAACTCTTGATTTTGGCTCAGGTCGTGACATCGAGCCCTGTGTGGGGCTCCATGCTGAGTGTTAAGCTTGCTTGGAATTCTCTCTCTCCCTCTCTCGCTCTGCCTCTCCCTTGCTCACATGCACTCCCTCTCTCTCTCAAAATAAACTTAAAAAAATGATATGTTATACTAAAAAAATTTTTTTTTTTAAATTTTATATATTTGAGAGAGAGAGAGCATGCACACACGAGCGGGGAAGGGGCAGAGAGGAGAGACAGAATCCCAAGCAGGATCCACACCATCAGCACAGAACCCGATGCGGGGCTCAAACTCAAGAACCGTGAGATCATGACCCAAGCCGAGATCAAGAGTTAGATGCTTAAACGACTGTGCCACCCAGGTGCTCCCTGATGTGTTATATTTTTTAAATGCCAAATGAAAAATTATAATGTGACAGATCACAGGTGCATCAAACTCTGTATTCATAGATACACACACTAGAAGAGTACCCAGAACATTGAGAACAGGTGAATATTAAGCTGCTTGGGCTGTGAGAAAATTTCCTGTTTCTTTTGTACGGTTACATTTATGTAGTAAATTTAAAAAGCAGAAGGGAAAATCCTATCATAACAACATACAGAGAGTTAAGGGGGCAGGAAACATAAATCTTTGCAGAGAATAAAAAGCATGTTTAAAACAACAATAGCACAACCATTTAAATCAGATCAGATGCCTGTCTTAAGCAGTGATTCTCATGAGCTGAAAATAAAATATTTTCAGTCCCTTCTTTGTTTTTTTTATTTTATTTTTTATTTTTTTAAATTTACTTCAGTCCCTTCTTAATTTCCTTGTCTTACCCTAAGAATGCTACTTGGATTGTTCTTTGGTAGGTAGGTCTTCTCTCTACCATGCACTGATGAAGGAAATGGTGACATTCTGAAATAAATTACTAAACTTTCATTTCTTCAATAAGAATTCACAGACCTGTCCTGTGGGAGAGACAGGCGGGAGACAGAAATGAAAGTTCACCATTATCACCTACCACATAATTGCTGCCTTGCCTCTGAAACACAAGAGAACTTACCCCTTTGGTCTCAAAGAATCTAAACTACTAGGATATTTTTTACTCTAACCATTCATAACTTTTTTTCTCAAAAGTTCCAATAATGCATTTATTGTCAAATCTAATCTCCCCCCCTCAATCTCCATCTTTCTCAACCTTTGGGTGATATTTATTCCTCCTTCCCTTCGCTCTCCTTATCCATATCTCCTTACCCTCCAGTCAAGGAACCTGAAAAACATTTAAAATGTCCTCTCCCTTTTCTTTTGGTAACCAACCAGTCACTAAAACCAGCTATTTTTGGAAATGTTTCTATATTTTTTCTTTGTTTTCCTTTTGGTAGGGATCCAGTCTAGGTCCTTAAGAATGTTCCATCTAAATTTCTGAAATGTTCCCAAAGGTCTTTCCGATCCCAGCCTCTCCCAGCCCGGAGACATAATGGACCAATATCCCTTAAATATCCTGCTCACTGTTCTGTTCCAGAATCGGTAGGCATTCCCGCCTGCTTCATCATGATGATGTCAAACTTTTTCCCTGGGCTTTCCCGGTCAGGCATAATCTCATCCTAATCAACATATCCAACCTTTCACTTTTGGGTTTTTGTTCCCACCCCCTCCATCGCAACAAAC